GGTTAAGCACACAGGTATTGCTTACTTACTGATATCCATCAATGTTTAGATTGCATACTTCCTGATATCCATCACTGTTTAGATTGCTTACTTACCGATATCCATCACTGTTTATATATGACTTACTTCCTGATATCCATCGCTGTTTAGATTGCTTACTTCCTGATATTTAGTTTACAGACTTTGAGAGGAAATTTACTTATGCTAAACAAACAGCAACAACAAAAACGATTCACTGGAACTGCAACAGACAACTGTACAGATTTGAATAACCCCTTTTTGTACTTGTATAAAACATCATCTCTTGGTGCACCTCTAGCAGAAAACTAAACAGTGTTGAAAGGAAACCAAAACTCTTCTTCTAGGGACAACACTAATAAACTACAAACATTTGATGTAACCTATTCAGTAGTAAGTACAAGAGTTCATGATGCTAAAAATCAATCAAGTATGAATAACCAAATACAACCCATTGTATAATAAACAGGGATGGATATCAGGAAGTAAGTCATATATAAACAGGGATATCAGGAAGTAAGTGATCTAAACAGTGATGGATATCAGGAAGTAAGTCATATATAAACAGTGATGGATATCGGGAAGTAAGTGATCTAAACAGTGATGGATATCAGGAAGTAAGTCATATATAAACAGGGATGATGGATATCAGGAAGTAAGTCATATATAAACGGATGGATATCAGGAAGTAAGTCATATATAAACAGGGATGGATATCGGTAAGTAAGCAATCTAAACAGTGATGGATATCAGGAAGTATGCAATGTAAACAGTGATGGATATCAATAAGTAAGCAATCTAAACAGTGATTGATATCAGGAAGTAAGTCATATATAAACAGTGATGGATATCAGGAAGTAAGTCATATACAAACAGGGATGGATATCAGGAAGTAAGTCATATATAAACAGGGATAAGTATATGTGGTTTGACAAAGGTTCAGTTTAATCGAATTGTTCGTTAGGCAGTCGGATGTTATTCACAACAACAATTATTTTTGTATTTTCTGCTTGTGTAATAATTAATTAATTAGTGAGCCAAGTATGTTACCAAGGTGATTAGAACCATGGCAACATGAAAGCAACTCTGTTGGAATAATAAATAATATCTCCAGTTTAGTGAACCAACAATGAAATATAATGATATGATGTTAGGAAATTAAAATATTCGTCTAAAAAAGTTATTTGAATAAAGCAACCCTGCAGGAGTTGATATTTCTGTGAAGCCTTGGGTTTTGTTCACAATATATAATTTTTTTTATCACGGATTCAGTTTTGATTATTTTATAAAAAATGTTGTATATGATAAAGGCCGGGTGTTACATACTTGGGTCTGTGAAGCAATCCCAACCATAGCCCCGTACCCCACAAAAAGATGGTTCACCTCCTAAATACTACAGTATGTGTGCCCACAAGACATAGAAAGAAGCTAGCACCACCACTATTGCAAATAATGTTGTGAAGAGTAGTAACCCAAATCAGTGTTTTGACATATTATTTTACCCATTATTATTATTACTGAACTGACAACTACAAAATATTAGTAAAGTCCTTAGAGGTAAAACATTGGAAGTTTGTGTTTAAAACAGCTAAACTAGAATGTGATTAGGCTTAACATATGATCATAAACGATGTGAATTCCACCCTTGTCCCCCAGTGGGACAGTTGTGAGTATGGACTTGCAATGCTGAAATCCGATTAGCCTGCAGTTAGTTCATTGAGGCTTTGCTTTAAAACAAACTTACTAACATTAAATTACTGTATATACCATGTAAATTTTAGTCAAACGAGATTATTTTCTTTGAAGCAGGTGTAAGTCAAAACTTCAAACAAAGAAGATAATACGTTCCTAATAGTGAGATGTCTTTCCAAGTTGTTCATTACATACGCTTATTTAATTCGAAGTATTGGAGTCGTGAATAATACGTCATTACAGAAGGAATGTGTCAATATATTTGTACTTCCTGCACACGGTTGTAGCTTTAGGCTTAGAATACTTCAAACCTAATCAGGCTTAAATTATAAAGAAAATTTCAGAGTTTATCGCGTCAGATTCTCACAAAAAGTTTGACATGGGAAGATGAAATAGTATAAGATATTAAGGGAAGCGTGGGAATACAAATGTCATATGTTACCACCAGGTGCGCCACTGTAGTTTTGTTTGCCTATTTACGTCATTTTGGACGCTGGAAGAACAGTTGCCGAGATATAACCACCCTGTAGATGTCAAAAACGTGTTGTCTTCAGTAATGTCTAATTTAATGATTATTTATTATTTCAACATTATTTTTACGTTATTTAAAGAAAGAAAAAAAACAACCTCTAAGATTGTAAGAAACTCATTGGTACCAAAGACTTCTTGTAATGAACGATCAAATAATGTTATAGAAACAGACAATGACACGTGTCAATCAAATCATTATTTTGACAGTTTGATCCTTTTCCATTCCAGGTCAGGATTACATTTACTTTTTTCAGTAAATTGTGATTCTGGTACGTTATCAGGAGTTCATTACTTATTTAAATACAGTGACACACTGATCTCGTTTTATCCCTCTTTAAGGGTGTTGTCCAAATTAGATGACATTCTGATTGTAACCTGGAAACTTTTATGAAGGTTCTTACTTCCAAGGCAGGTGTTTCCTCGTAGAACTTCAACTGACAGTTAAATAGTAAACCGTATTTCTATTTACTAATCTACTTGTGTTTAGAAACCGTATTCATGTTTTACATTCTCTCATTCATCAGATATATTGCTTCAGTTCTTAAAACATTTGATTCTGACAAACTTCAGGTTGACAAGACTTTATACACGTTGGAAAAAAAAACTTACGCTGAGTACGTTATATTAAAATGATATAACATGTAAAGGAGCAAGTAATATGAAACTGAGTTGTAGTGGGAGAGCGTATATCATAATTACATTGTGATATTATTTAATGTTTCGTAGGTTATGTGATGTCACTTAAAATTCATATCCTTTTGTAGGGGGGGGGATATAATGGTCATTAACTCGGATCGTAAAGATGTGTTCAGATCTGGGATTTAGAATTTCCAAGATGGAGATATCCCTTAAACTTTTAATGACACTGGAAGACAAAACTAAAGGGATATAGATCATCTTGGGGAACCAGGAGTGTTCAGAAACAGAACTGCGACAAGTTTTGCTTTGTGCTAAGTGTTTTATAACATGAGAATCAGAGGTCAGTGGCCAAAACTGGTCACGTGTCGCAAACAACTGTATGTAACATAATCCAGAAGTATCAGCTCATTCATGAAGTAGATATTCGTGCTATTCTAGTCTGTCGTTGCAGCACTTGGAGATCGTCATCTTCGTACATTATACGAATCATGGAAGGCATGAAGGGTAAGGGGTTAGCTTTGAACATGACAACCTTACGATGGAGCCTTTTGTAAAGGAAACTACACTGCAGGGCTATTATTAAAATACACGGTCGTCAGACAGAGCTTGACCAGACATGGTGAGGCTCCAAAATCATTTTAGTATAAGGTGATATCAACTTCTGTACGTCCATGAAATGTGCTTGATTTTACGAAGCAGAGTGTTAAATCTTGGTTTAATTTATTTCTCGCATAAAATTACTAACGTAAAAGTTGTTATTAAATAATGTTTAGTTTCTACAATAACGTTATTATTTCGTTTTTCCAGAATTACGTTAATAACAAGAAAGAATCACTGTTCGACAAATATGAACTGTAGTGATTTGATTCCTTTTCCAGAAGTTTCAAAGCACGAACACTGACTCTCTGTTCACATATTTGCTCAGATTGTTTTAATTCGAATCGCAGGCTTCGTGAGTATGCATAAGTAGTTTGTTACGTGACTATTATAAATCCTTTCGTTTGTTTTCTTCTTGTCCGTGCAAATATATACAGTGGCTGCGGGTATCGAACTCCGAATTTTTGCGTTTAACGTTAGCAAGCTAAGCCACCGGGATGGGGGGGGGAGTTTGCTCTGTTGATGGCTTTTATAAAAGAGTGGACATTTTTTTGTTGTTGTTGTTGGTCTTCATAGAAAAAAAAAAAGCAAACCGCTAGTGTTTCAGAAAAATCGCCACGTTTTCTTTTCTCTGGTATCAAAACGAAGATTGTTACCTTTATAAAAGTATTAAAAACATTTTCAAACACGACATGTTCTGTGCATTAACTCTCACAGAGTAATGGCTGTCAGTCACGCAAAAGTTGAGGAGAGTGTGTCACGTGGTTGTACTGTACTTCCCGTACAGATAAAACGTAAAGAAAAGGTTAACAATCATAACTTTTAACTAATTACTAGTACGTGAACGTGGTGTACGGTAATGATACCAGTAAAGCTCTGGATTTAGAAACTGACTGAACCGGGTTCGAATCCGTGCGATACCATAAAATATTCCCCACACTTTATGCTTTGGGTGCTTTATAAAATAGGGAGGCACTACCTTAGGGTGGGTGTTGCTGACTGCCTTTCCTTTTGGGCAGTAGTTCAAAATTAGGAACAGTGGTAGATATGCCATAAATAAGGGCACGTGACAATTCACAGAGATATATAGTATTATAAGTAATGGAAAGTGGGAACATTTTAAAAAATGATAAACACAATTTTGATGTATTTTACCTTGATCTCATGAACATAGATAATGTTCTCAATATAAAAAAAAAGTTCAAACATCTCAACTTAAAGGTCATTTAACCGTCTTCTGCTCCGATAAAAGATGATACACACAACACAGGGAAGACTATGTATGACAAGTATTTGTACAATAAAATTAAGTGTTAGATTCCGGTTTACTGAACAAAGACTGTCGTGAAGTTTTGATCTATGATGTTAACATAGTCTTTTTCTTTCAAGATTTCACAGATGAAAATGAGCAGAATGGAATTCTACACAAAACCTGAAGGTGGCCGTTCCTAATTTTGAATTGATAGACAGTTCAGCCAATCGCAACATAGGACTTACGTAACATGTTTCATAAAAAAACGGTGTAACAGGCTTAACAACAATTACATAACAGTATGATAGGCTTAACAACAATTACATAACAGTATGATAGGCTTAACAACAACTCATGCCTGCAGAAATCCTCGCAGATTTAGGGTTTGGATATTTAGCTTATCTACAAAAACTCTATTATTTGTTCGTAAAGTTTACATGAAAATATTAAGTAGGAATATTTAAAAGCTACGATGGAATCACTGTCTCTTTTGTGCT